TTTAAAGAAAAAATTGAAGTGCTAAAAACTAACACAGTATACTTTTCCTATATTACCATATGTATCTTATACAGAAACCTATGTTGGGCCATATATATATTGGTACACACCAACATACACATCTTCAAAAACTTCTACTAAAATTTCTAAGAATCTGAATATTGACAGTCAATCTTTTGTCCTCCAATACTCATTTGCTGGTATCTTCTTAGCCTATTTCACTCCTATTTCACTTAGGAATATCTGCTAAATAGCGCCCGTGCGCGCGCCCCCCCCACACACACACACACACACACACACACACACACACACACACACACACGTACAAAAACAAGTTCTGCTCTCGATGCCAAAAGACATACTATGAGCTGGATGTGGTGGGGGCACACCTTTAATCCCTGCACTTGGGATGCTGAGGCAGGCAGATGTACATAGCAAGCTCTGGGCCAGCTAAGGCTACGTGGTGAGATTCTGTCTTAAAACAAGTAAAGCTGGGCTGGAGAGATGGCTCAGCGGTTAAGAGCACTGACTATTCTTCCAGAGGTCCTGAGTTCAATTCCCAGCAACCACATGGTGGCTCACAACCGCCTTGAATGAGATCTGCATGCAGGCAGAAGACTGTATACATAATAAATAAATAAATCTTAAAAAAAAAGCTACACTATAATAAATATACCACTATCATCAAGGAGCTATAAGGAAGATGGCATTTGATTCTGATAGTATATGCAGGCAAATAACCTTTCATAAGAAGTCTACGGTTGCCAACCAACAGCTGGGACATTTTGTTACCCACGAGGAAAACATCATAAGCATCAACACTTATCCAAAAAGGAATTAATCATAAAATTAGCAAATTTTACTTTTCTTAGGTATTAGTTAAGGAACATGGCAATAGTTACACCATTTAACTCCTTCACTGACAGTATACAATTTAAAACTGATATATGTGGCTGATTAAATAATACTAATTTCTAGTTTACTTCTTCATAAAATTTCATTATTTTATTATTTGAAAGGTGATTAACATATGAAAATATATAAAAACATTATTAAACAAAGCCTTGGCCAGACATGGGGGAATATGATCCCAGCACTCAAGAGGCATAAGTAGGTGGATCTCTTGTGAGCCTGGTCTACATAAGAGTTCTAGGACAGCAAGGGCTCAAAAACAAAACAAATCAAAAACAAAAACCAGGGCTGGAGAGATGGCTCAGAGGTTAAGAGCACTGTCTGTTCTTCCAGAGGTCCTGAGTTCAATTCCCAGCAACTGCTTGGTGGCTCACAACTATATTTAATGAAATCTGGTGACCTCTGCTGGCCTGCAGGGATACATGCAGACAAAAAACTACATAATACATAAATATATCTTTAAAAAAAGAAGATACTTGAAAACAAACAAACAAGCCGGGTGTTGGTGGTGCATGCCTTTAATCCCAGCACGCGGAAGGCAGAGGCTCCAAAGCTACACAGAGAAACCCTGTCTCGAAAAACCAAAAAACAACCCCAAACAAGCAAAATGCCAAAAACCAAAGGCTTGGTTGTTTCTGTCAACCAGTTAAAAAATGAAATTCAAGGATCGCCCCCCCCCCCCATTATTTGATTCTAAAAAATGACTTCTAAGAATCTGGAAATGGGAGGAAGGAATCAGTATTCTGTGAATTAAGGGGAAAATTTTTTTATTTTTATTCTAAATTCCACATTACTTGGTCACTTATAATCTTTAATCAACACATGGAAGAGCTACCTACCTGCATTTAATAAAAAAGTTTAAAAAAAAAAGTAAGTAACAGGGTTAACAAAGTCTGTTTTTAATTAACTGTTCTTTACTCACCATTATCTGGTCCTTGAAATTTCATGGAATAAAGCTTGACAGGTTGATTGAATGCCACAGTAATAAGTAGCTGTGGGGGAAATAGTTTAATTATAAAAGGATTTGTCAACACCAAGAATAGAAAAGAAAGGCTAAGGGAAGCTAAAATAAAGGTGGCATAAATCTAGTTCACCTAACAAAACCACTGCAATATTCTGCAAGCTGACGTTAACTTCATTAGTTTGGCAATTAAGAACGACACCAGCAATTACTTATGTAAAAAAATTAATTAATTAATTTTAGCAATAAATTTACTAAAATTATGTATAGAAACTTAAGATCTGGAGCTAGGGCTGCTCTGCCAGAGGACCTACATTCAATTCTCAGCACCCACATGGTAGTTCACAGGATCTGTAACTCCAGTCCCAAGGGAACCAGGCATGATATGATGCACAGACACCCAGTTGCATAAAATGAATATTTAAAAAAACAAATGAAACAAAATTCCCAAATGAAACAAATTTAAGTCCTAAACTTTTACCTCACTCAGCCACACCACTTGACTACTGGAAGGTAACGCACAATCATGCAGAAAGACTGGCCCTCATGTCAACAGTGATCTAAAATTCACAAATTAGGACTCTTTGGAACCAGGAATGTGGCTCAGTGTGTCCAATGCTCTGAGTGATGGGAGTGAAGAAAGGCACTAAGATGGCTCAAAGGCCTCCAAAAACTTCATTCTCAATTTCTCTAAAAGGCCACATAAGGGAACTAATATATCAATGCTATCTGGATTCTCCCAGAAGCTCTAAGTTATCCATAAAGTTTTTTTCCATCCAAAACAGTGTTAGTGCTCATAACTATACTCCTACTCTGTAAGAAAGACTTCCCTTAACGTAAGACTTCAGCAAAATTGTAGACAATGCTACTGTCTACACTGTCATGGTTTCAGGCAACTACACACAGGAATGTGGTATAAATCCTAGTTGTGAAGTTGTAATAAAGTACCTCTGGATCTAAGAAGCAGTTTAGACTTATTTCAGAATCATATTGAGGTCTAAGAAAACAACTAGACTATTTCACCACTTTTTATATTTGACTCCTAATAGTGTGTCAAAACATAGCAAGCATGACAAGTGCAAAGAGCTGAAATGCTGATAAAAAGCAGGTGAGAGGGGAAAGCCAGAAACAGATAGGGTCAGCAAGACATCTGAAAGATGCCAGTGAAGAGTCATTAAGTGTTACAAGAAGGTGCAACAAACATGCAGACTTGGACTTTATAAACTTTAGTGACCGAGTAGAACAGGAAAAAAATCCCACACAGTGGAATAGAAAGTAATACCCAGAAGATAAAGATGGTGTGATTAGGTGGTTACCATATTTTCTCTGTGGCAATAGCAACACAGGGGAGGAAACAGTATTTTTTTTTTTTATCTGGGATTAAGCAGACGCTCTTCTATGGGAATGTTTATTGAACCAATCTCTACTGTTCAGACACAAACTACCTGGGTAGGGAAAACACAGAAAGCAGTATTAAAAAATGGCCAAATACTGGTGATGATCTAACCAGCAGTGGGGCCAACCATGAGCTCAACAAAGTTCTTTAGAGCACATGGCAGCTGACACAGAACACAGAAAGGAGATGGACCTAGACAGTAATGGGCCAGGAGTCAAAGAAACTGAGAGCTGTAAAAGGAAAAGAGAGAGGCGAGAACACTACAGAGAAACAAGAGCAATACAGTGACAGTCCCTACCAACCTTAACTTAAGTAATGAATTACCTGCTCATCACAATCAGATTCCAAGAAGGACATGTCTTTTCGTAAACAGTTGTCAAAACCATGCTCATCACTTTCATTAAGACATTCACAGCCAGCTTTGTTAATGAAAGGCATTAAATCCATCTGAAACAAAAGAAATCAAGAAACATTTGGCAAAACATTTGGCTTTAGCATAAAAAATAGAAAGATTCAGATCTATGATTCTTTCTAGATTAAGTGATTTTCAAGAAAATGTCTGCTTTAAAACAGTTACTGAAATATTTATAATGGTCATTTCACTTGAATATCTGACTGAAATCTATTATTAAAACAAAATCTAGGCTTACCCTATATGGAAAGTTATTAGAAACCCAACTTACAGGTCTCAGTATTCCCCAGGATATTTACTACAAAGAGCTTATGACTATAAATATGTTATTTTGTGTAGCCCAGAAGCCTCTTTCAAGGACCCAGGACACTTGTAACACAGCACTTAGGAAGTAGATGTAAGAAGCACAGCGGTGAGGAACCACCTTATGTTACACAGTAAGTCTGAGGTCATCTCAAACAAAACCAAACCATACACAGCAAAACAAACACACACCAAAAAAGCAACCAAACCAAAAGGAACTAATTACATCAACAAATATGATCATTAAAAAAGATAAGACCTCTCTCTCCAGGACTCCATGAGAGGACAAATCCTAAGTGACAAGGACAAGGTAGCAACCATGAGCAGCCTAATCCCATTCACCCTAAGCAGTACTCTGTTCTTTCACATCTTGACTCTACGGAGCCCCTATGGCTCCTTCTCCTTTCATGACATCCAGATAAACAGGGTTTCTTTCCCTTATAGCATTTTTTTACACCTTCCTCATTTTTAACTGTGTTTAACATGTTTTATAAAGTATATGGCTTTCTGTGAGATACTTAATGCAGACCAGGGATGATCCCAAGCTGCACAGAACTAAGGCTCAGACCAACACAACCTTAATTCAGATCCAGGCACTACAAGGACTAAAATCAAAGGTGATGACTGTGAAATTACCACATTAGTATATTACTAGCTTGGCTCTTGGCTATAGATAACATCCCTCATACAGGTCCTATGGGCACAAGATCCTAAGTATCATTTTAGGGGTTTGGAAGTTGCTTTTTTTTTTTTCTTTTCTTTTTCGGTTTTTCAAGACAGGGTTTTTCTGTGGCTTTGGAGGCTGTCCTAGAATTAACTCTTGTAGAGTAGACCAGGCTGGTCTCGAACTCACAGAGATCCTCCTGCCTCTGCCTCCTGAGTGTTGGGATTAAAGGCATGTGCCACCACCGCCCGGCTGGAAGTTGCTTTTCTTTAGGTCAAACCAGTTAAAAGAACTGACACTGCAGGTGAGTCTGGGCAAGTGTGCCCCAGGGAAGTTCTTTGTCTAATCACTTCTGAACATAAGCACTATGAAATCACAAAGTGTAGCTATACTGCAGAAACCACCAGTTACTTCACGGTCTCTTTCCTCCAATCAGTTTCCCATGGTTTTGAACTATTTATCTCAAAAGTATCCGTGGGGCACAAATTAGAAACTGGTGTTCTAGTCCTCATGTTTGGCTGTCTTGTAAATAACTTTATCTTTCATGAAATTATTTTAGTCATTAGCATACCAAAATGATATGTACAGCATCCTAGTTCAATCAATCCCAACTCAGCCGGGCGTTGGTGGCACATGCCTTTAATCCCAGCACTCAGGAGGCACGAGGCAGAGGCAGGCAGATCTCTGTGAGTTCAAGGCCACCCTGGTCTAGAGAGTTCAGGACATCCTCCAAAGCAGTACAGAGAAACCCTGTCTCGAAAAACCAAAAAAAACCAAAAAAAAAAAAAAAAAAAAAAAAAAAACCAAAAAAAAATCAATCAATCCTAACTCAAAAAACTGTTCACACTTTCTGACTGGGTGTTATTTTAAATAAATACTAAGTGTATGGACTAACAGAAAATAAGTTAAGAGTGTCTCTCCCCCCCCCACATAAAAACAAGCTCTCCTGTCTATCTGACTAGTTTTTCAGCTTGAATTTAAAGGGTTTACAAATGGGAATAAACTGATTTGATTTACTGTACCTAATACAATTTTTTTATGTAATAGCTTCAACTTTAGAAACAAGTATAGACCATAAAATACTATTTCTGAACTTTGCTTCCTTCCTGAATAACCTCAAACCATGCACAACTGCATTAAAACTATTTGTAGTAGGTAGCTCAGAAATATACTGAGTTCTTCAGTATTCACCTCAATTAAAAAAAAAAAAAAAGTACCTTACTGTTAAAATACATTTAACACTAAAGTCACACTTGATTCTAAACCAAACAAGACTAAATTATAGGAAGTTAAGTAACATGGAGATTCAGTACAGTAAAGCCATTTTACATAACAATACAAACAAGGTATCTTTCAATGTCCTGTTCTCCACTCATGAAAGGAATATGGCTGCTTATTAGTTTAGAAATCAATTTTAAGTGACAAAGAAATTTAGCAGAACAAATTTAGGGGAAAGTGATTCATAATGAGACAAAACTCAATAGTCTAATTTGAAAAATCCTTATTTGAAAGTATGTTGAATTAGTAAGAAAACAGTAAATTTCATTTCAACCAAGTAACACCTAGTTTAAAATACTGTTTTTACTCTTCTGATGACATACATAGCCCTTCGGAATGTCTGTGTCCTCATTGCTTCCAGGATCATTTTCTAGATGCTGCTTGATTTTCTCTTCTAGTCCCACAGCATCTGCTCCTTGATACTGATCGATTCTCACTTTGTTTCGAAAAAACAAAAATGTAGGTGTTGCTGATATATTGTTGGTGGCAGCTGTTCCCTAGAACCAGCAAATTAAACAGTGAAATAATTAAAAATAAAATCTTATACCATTTTGGATTTTTCAACTTTAAGCAAATTAAAATAGCACAAGTCTTAACCAGAAAGGCAAAACACTGTTATTTCTAATTGTTACTTAAGAAAGAACAGACTAGACTAAAGAGAAGGCTGCTCTTCCAGAGGACCAGAGTTCAATATCTAGCATTCATACGGCAGTTCACAGCCACCTACATGACCCAGTTCCAGGAGATCCAATTTCCTCTTCTGGCCTTTCAGGACCCAGGCACACATGTGGTACTCAGTCAGGCATGCAAATAGAATAGTCATGCACATTAAAAAACAAAAACAAGTGTGCTGGAAAGATGGCTCAGAGCACTGATTATTCTTCCAGAGTGAGTTCAACTCCCAGCAACCACACGGTAGCTCAAAACCATCTATAACGAGATTTGGTACCCTCTTCTGACATGCAGGCAGGTAAAAACAATAGCTGGGTGTTAGTGGCCCATACCTTTAATCCCAGCACTCGGAAGGCAGAGGCAGGTGGATCTCTGTGAGTTCGAGGCCAGCCTGGTCTACAGATCGAGTGCCTGGATAGGCTCCAAAGCTACACAGAGAAACCCTGTCCCAAAAAACAAAACCAAAAACAAACATAAAACAACAACAAAAACAAAAATAAAAAAATTTTAAAGGCACACCTATTGTGAGGGAGTGCCTATGGAGACATCCACAACAGAGAACAGTTCTGTTTTTGTTTTTTAAAGCATTAGTTTTATGTTCATATACTTTATCCAACCGAACAACTGTATTTTAATACAGAAATTGTGTTTATAGAAGGCAGCTTTTTTATAATTGCACAGTATGAATTTTTCAAAAAGAAATAACCTAAAGTGAGCATTGTAGGACACATCTTTAATCTCAGCACTTGGGAGGCAGAGGGCAAAAGTTTGAGCCCTTCTGGTCTAGACAGTGTTCAGGCCAGTCAGCGCTAAATATGACTGTCTCAAAAGAAAACAAACAAAAACAAGAAAGGTAATGATGAGTCAACACAAACTCCTCCTCCTAAGAAAAAGTATCTATCTGAAAAAGAAGAGCCAGTCTAAACTACCTTTCAAAGAAAGGGTGTGGGGCAATGTCTCTCATCTTGAAAAAGGCCATCCCTCATTCAATTTCTACTCTTACAAAACTGATTTTAGGTTACCATAAAAAGAATAGCCATCTTTTTAAATTTTGCTCTACTTCTATAATTTAATACTAAATGGAAATAAATAATAACCATAACACCACTGTTTAAAGTTTTCATGACAAGGACTTAAAAAACAGAAAAGCAAATCTGTCCTCTCACATATGCAAATTGTATGAAGTACAGAATATCTATCATTCAAAGAAAAAAAAAGCATAAAGGCAACCAAGTGATATGTTCTCTAAACATCAAGAGTGACCTATTAGAACAGCGCTATCTTAAAAAAAAAAAAAAGTGAGAAAAATGTGAGCCATACATGTATATATATGATCTTAAATTTCCTGGTATGCATAATAAAAAAAACCCTAAAATCAGTAACATATTTTAGTGAAGTCAATATGTACATTTTCAACATAAAGATAATGACATATTTTTCATAAACTAATATACACCTAAAATAAGGACAGTGATACCATCTATTAACATTTAATATAGGTTATTAAACAAGTGTGTAATGTCAGACTTATATATGTTTCTCCTACCATTAGAAAAGTTTAAGACAATTCAGATTGGGCAAAAATATTGCAGAACATACTAAACAAAGCACTTTACCTCTTACAGATAGCGAACACTTATAAACAATTAAGAACAAGAATGACATCCAGAAGAAAAACTCTTGGAATAGTTAACTTGACAAATGAGATACTTAAGGGGAAAATTAGTTAATAAATGAGGTACTTAAGGGGAAAATTAGTTAATAGGGAAATCAAGGAAACTGAAAAACGAAAATTGAAGCTACTTTTACTGAAACTGGTAAAATAAAAAAGCGGTATTCAGAATGAGGAGGAACTGAACTTTCTTTCATACACTGTTCTTAACAATGCACAAAGTATAACCACTTTGCGGGGAGGGTGAGCATAAGCAAAATCTTAACTTTGAAGATAAGATTATAAAGTGCCGAAATTAAATCAAACTATTATCAAAAATTCTCCATTATAACTTTATGATCAGCAAAAGATATAGAAGTACCAGGTAACCTATTTACTTTAACAACATTGTATTAATTTCACCTCATATTTAAAAAACTTGAAATAATATACTTTCCTAACTAACGTAGTCAAATAGCACTCATAATAATCCTAACATTCTCCTGTCTAAAGAATAACTACCATGTGAATAAAGACATAGTGGGTAATATTAATGTTGGGTTTTGATCTGTTTCATGAGAAATAAGAGGGAAAAAGTCTCTTCTGCCTTACCTGGCACTGATGTACATCTACTTCCAGGAAAACTGCCTGTGGATACTTATTACTCATAGAGCTGAATGCAGGAGCAATCCTCAAACATGGTCCACACCTGTGAGGAAGACAGAGCTATATCCAGTAAAATAATACAAAGACTGTACTAACTTATGCTATAAAAACATTTACCAAGTTAAAATAAGGCAAACTGATATTCTTGGCTTTAGTCACATTAATGTAGTCAACTGGGTCATTTATAATACTGTATTAATACCATATTGCTTTCATGAGTACAGATACAATATGAGGTCTCAGGCTTAGGATTGTAAAATTTTTCTGTTTTGTTTCTATTGAAAGAATACAAAGGAAAATAAATAATAAAGGGGCATCTTTATAAACTGAAAAAAAAAGTCGATATTGTCAAGAAATCAATCCTCCTTGATTAGGATTAATATACAATCCCAAAATGTTTATTTAAAACTAACAAATAACATTAGCTGAGGTTTAAAGCTTTAAAAAAATCATCAAATATTAAGACCTAACATAAAGCTTTATTAATTAACAGCACACAATGCAATAGGTTGAACATGTTATTTGAAAACTTTTAGAACTCAAAATGATCCTAACCCCCCCAAACTGGGTATTATATCAGCATTCAAAAAGTGTGGCTACCAAAACATTTTAAATTTCAATTTTTCACATTTGACACATTTAACTAAAAAATCTAAGTTAACTATTACAAACCCCAATAAACTGAAAGCTGAAATATTCTGAGCCCATGCATTTCAAATAAGGGATAAACAGTCTGTAACCTAATACACCTTCTAAGAACAAGGCTCAGTGTGCTAGTGTATGCCATTAATCCCAGCACTGGGGAGGAAGAGGTAGGTCATCTCTGTGAGTTTAAGTCCAGACTGTACATAAAAATATGCACATAAAAAAAGCAGGCATCATTAACATGAGGCAATTTTAAGTAGCCCAATACGCATATAATTTGAGACTACTGAAGAGGAAAATATTTGAAGTACTATGCAAAACAATTTTAAATTTCATAAAAATTATGAATTAAGCTGGGCAGTGGTGGTGCACAACTTTAATCTCAGTCAGGAGGCAGAGGCAGGTGGCTCTCTGTGAGTTCCAGGCCAGCCTGGTCTACAGAGGGAGTTCCAGGGCAACCAAGGCTACAGAGAAACCCTATCCCGAAAAACTTAAATAAATAAAGTTTAAGAGAATTATGAAATAAGTATAATCAAAGATACTTTGTTATTCCAAAAAATAGTAAAAGAAAAAAAGAACAAAGACAAGTGGGACAATGGGAAATATGGTAAGCACTAGACTCTAACTATACTGATAAGATTAAATGTAAATAACTTAAGAAATTAAAAACCAAATTATGGCCAGGCGTTGGTGGCACATGCCTTCAATCCCAGCACTTGGGAGGCCAGCCTGGTCTACAGATCGAGTGTCAGGATAGGTTCCAAAGCTACACAGACAAACCCTGTCTTGGGAAAAAAAAAACAAACCAAAAAACAAAAACCGAAAAACAAACAAATAAAAAACCCCAAATTATGACCAGGTGTGGTGGCACACACTTTCCATTCCAGCACTCGGGAGCAGAGAAAGGCTGATCTCTGCAAACTGGAAACAAATCTACAAAGCAAGTCCTAGGACATCAGGCAAACAAACAAGAACAAGAACTGAAGGCCATAAGTTAAGTAAGTTATTCAAAATCTCATGTTATATGTCTATAACTAGTTCTGTAAATCACATAAAATACATTTATTTTAATAAACTTTATTAATAAAATAATATAATTTGGGTACTTGCTACATTTCACAATTCACAAAAAATGTTAAATTCTTGTCACCTCATTTAATATTTTGCAACTGCCAGAACAGGGCTAGGGGAAAGCTCAGTAGCAGATCAGTTGCCTAGCATGTGTGAGGCCCTGGATTCAATTTCCCAGCCAAAAAGTAAAAACTCCAAATAATGTCCTAGACTCTAACTTTTAAACTACCAATCTCAAAAGTTCACAACAGATCTCCAGTGTTTAGTTGCTGTTTATAAAGCAATGGCCATATACTGCATAGTACATGCTCTTGAAGAAACTATATACTCTTGAAAAGGAGCAAGACTACAAAATACAATTCTGTTTTCATATATTTTAAGTTAAGGCAAGACTAACAGTTAGAATCCAAAAGTGACAGGAAGGAGCCCAAGGATGCAAGAATCTGGTACCGTTAATGATGTATTTCTTATACTTAGTGTTGGTTATAAAGATGTGCTCAATTGAAAAATTTATCAAGGTACACATTTTAGTAATTAGTGTATTTTTGAATGTTAGTCAAGGGCTCCCCTGCCAAAAACAAACAGACAAACAAACATTTCTGATTGAAACCACTACTAGGCTTCAGCATGCCCTGGCCTTCACAACTTCACTCACACATATCTGTCTAGCTCCTACAGGCTACTGGGCTATCTCATTTTGGTAAACTACTTTCAACCCTCAGCAATCTTATAATATGCAATTAATACTTAGCAATATACTTCTGAACAAGCTAACATAGTACTGGAACTCAACATCATCATACACACCACTACCATCCTTCCTGGATGATGACTATGATACCCAACAATTACAAAATAAAGCCTGCTTTAAGAAAACAAAAATACAGGGCATACCATCTATAACAGGAAGATTTGACTTCCTGAAAAAAAAAAGTGATACATTTACCATTTCAAGATAAAAATCATTCATTGTATACGAATGGGGGAGAAACCATACATTCTTTTAGCTTAGTATACCACAAACCAAAACAGTAACATGACTCTGTTGGTAACAATTCAATGTATCTGGCCATATTTAAGAAGCAACTATTTGGTGACAGTTATTTTAAAAATCTTACCAGAATGTGGTTTTGTTTTGTTTTGTTTTTTCCAGACAGGGTTTCTCTGTGTAGCTTTGGAGCCTATCCTGGCACTCGCTCTGGAGACCAGGCTGGTCTTGAACTCACAGACATGGCGTGCCTCTGCCTCCCGAGTGCTGGGATTAAAGGCATGCGTCACCGATGCCCGGCCAGAATAGGTATTTTTTAAAACACCTTTAAAAAGATTTACTTTGTGTAAGTGTTTTGGAGGCCAGAAGAGGGCATCTTATCCCCTACAACTGGAGTTACAGGTGGTTGTGAACTACTATGTCAAAGGTGCTGGAAATTGAACCCAGATCCTCTGGAAGAGCAGACCATGCTTGTAACTGAGCCATCTTTCCAGTGCCCAGAATAGGTATTAACATAGATTTAATTCTCTCAACAGTATGAATAGGTCAATATTATCTCATCTGGTCAAGAAATATAAGAGAGTAAACTGAATGTTGATAGGTTTAAGATTATAATGCAGACAGAATTATAATTTGTTCAAAGCAATCTGTATTTTAAAAATGAATTAAAGCAGAGACTGAAAAAGATGTATTATAGCGTTTGTTATTCTTAACAGCAAAAAGAAAACACAAGTGTCCATCAACAGGCGAAAAATGATATATACACACAATGGGATATATTTGCAACTATAAAAAGGAATGAAATACTGAAACATGCTATGCTACAGATGAATTTCGAAAACATACGAAGAGAAATGACTAAATGACTAAGAAGAAAAAAAGGCAGCACACATTAATTCAAAATATAGTAGCACTCACATAAGGTGCCTAAATTAGGCAAGTCCTAGAAAAACAAAGTACAATGGAGACTACCAGGGAAGTAGCTGGATATGAGGAAGGTGAGATCTAACAGAGGTTTGTTCTTCTGGGTGTTACGACTAACCAGGTTCAGTTTCAACTTGGGAAGCTAAAACTATTTTAGGAAATAATGGTAATGATGACAAAATATCGTGAATGTACAAAATACCACTCTTTGAAACTACTAAAATAACTCTGTATGTTGGTAAATACCTGTAGTTCCAGCATTCAGAAGGCTAAGGAGGAGGATCACAAGAGGCTAGCCTGAGCTACAGAATTAAAAAAAATGGTAAAAATCAATTTATGTCATATACATTTTACTATGAAAAGAAAAATGGGGCATGGGATGTAACTCAGTGGTAGAGTGCCTAGCTAGTTAGTATGTTCAAAGGCCATGCACATATACTGAAGAGTTGCTGAAGATTTCTTAAACAAAGCAATCTATACACTGTTCGAGGAAAATTAATTTAGACCAATGTTTGATAAGCAATGTACAATTTAGGTTAAAGTACATCGTTGGAAGTGAAAAAAATCAGATACTAGAAAAAATTATGCCCTCAACCCAAAATGAGGTTAACATTAGCTTTCCCTGCACAGTTTCTGTTATTTGCCAGTGATCAAGTAACACCAACAATGCGCTCAGAGAGGAATGAATGCCTTGACTGCCCATGTTAAAAGAATGTTAATGATATTTTAAAAATAAAAAAGAATGTTAAGGATAAATAAACCTTACTAGATTCATAAATGTTACTTAAATATTCTTTTAAACTAAAATTTTTCTCTAAATATAAGCACTTATTTGCCTTAAGTTTTTAAAAAAATGTCATTTTTCATTCCATTAACACATTTTAATAAGCAATCTAGTTCTTTACCAATCAGTCCCCACAAGTATGCTAAAAATGATACCACGCCAATGACAGAAAAGTCTCAGCAGTAACAATGTTTCTCCACCTTTCTCATTTCAGTCAAAAAACTGCTTATTATTCTGCCTCTGATATGGCAAGGGGGGGAATAAATATTGAATGACAAAAGTGTAAAAGCTCCAATTGACCAGAATTAGAAGGATGAACTAAAAAAATGGGATTCCTTGTTCTCTCTTCTGCTATAGTCTAGTTAACAAATGTGCAGGCATTCTCCTAGTACAAAAGCTACAAATATGCCAGGCTTTGGTGTCACACGCCTTTAATCCCAGCACTCGGGAGGCAGAGGCAGGTGTATCTCTGTGAGTTCGAGACCAGCCTGGTCTACAAGAGCTAGTTCTAGGATAGCCTCCAAAAGCCACAGAGAAACCCTGTCTCGAAAAACAAAACAAAAAAGCTACAAACATGACAAAATTGCTAAAGTTGAGAAGACACTTCCTAGAATTCTGATATTCCTTTGAGGCATGTCTTAATACATGACATAGCCTAATCCCTTCAATTTCGTAAATGTAAAGCATCTGGTCACATGGGTACTCTATCCCTCTATTAATTTACTGCCCCTTTTCAGTTCTGTGGAGGACTGGCCCAAAACAAAATATCAACACCAAACCCTCTAACTGGTGTTCATTTCTACTTGCACCCCAATCCCTTTGAGCTAGCTACATTTGTATACTCAACAGTCATTGAACTCTGTACTAGAAACTACAAATTTTTCCTCCAGAATTAAAAATAAAGCAAACAACACAACTACATTGGCAAGTAAACCTGTTAAATAAAGATTAGTACTGGGAGTAGACTGCTCCTATTTGGTATGTGTGTAAATAATGCCAGGTAGTCAAATGAAGATCTCCAAACCTTCTATGTACTGCTACATACAAGAGATCTGCAACACACTGAATTTTAGGTCCTAAGGTCTACTTCCAATTTACATATAACAACATTATTACACACCCAATAAGCGATCCACCAGCTTTTAGTCCCTTACACTGTGACTTTATCCAAAGACAATATCATTTCAAATCCCTATCATCTTAAATCATTAAGTTAAAAAGGCAATTTGGTCAAACACAGAGGCCTGCTCAACCGGTGACATGTTCATACTGTATTTTATGTCTGTAATCTGCATAAACAGAGGAGCCTAATACAAAACCAAGCAGGCACAAACAAGATTTGCCCATTAAAAAACATTTTGTCCCATTAACTTCCTTCAAAATGCACCAACTATGCCTTAAGACTACACGTTATTCGGAGTAGATGGGTGGCCTCATCGCCATCTTTCAAAGGCTTTGCAGAAATGCAGGTGAAAAGAAATCAAAGTGTTTGGAAAACTAAGCTTTCAGAAATACTACAATGCAAATGATAGTATCTTTACTATAGCTGGCTCTTCCGAAAGACAGGAACCGACGCAGGCAGTAGAGGCTGAGACTCCTACAAGCTGGAGGAAGGCGCGGGCCACCCCCAAGAACAGAGTACATCTGCGAATTTAAAGTCGGCGGGTAGGCATGTCCTGAGCGACGGGACCCACCAGATTGGCCTCTGTGTCCGCCTGGAAGCCCCCTATGCACATCTCCGACCCGCTCTCTAGAGCCGAGGCCTAATCCTAGCTGCGGCCTGGGCTGTAGTCACCACCGGACATTCCAGAGCATGAAGACGACAGGAGAACTGGGACCCGGAAAATGGGGGCGGGGGGATGGGGGAAAGGGACCCACAGAGGGATGCCAACAAGGTCCAGACTCGGCCTTACCCTCTCATGGTGAACTTGACCACAGCAAGTCTGGAGCCCGCCCCACTCAGCTCGGGCTGGAAATCTGGATCGCTGCCGACCGGCTTCACTCCCCCCATCCTCA